AAAACAGAGTTTCATTCCCTTGACTTCAAGAGTCAAAATTGTCACGCAAAATTGGTGCAAAATATCAGTAATAAAGATGTAAGTTGCTGCAATCTGACTCTTTTTCCCTCCATCATAAATGAGTCTCAGAGCGTCAGACGAAACACAATAAACGCTGTCATGTTCTCTTTCAAAATTACTAAATAATTTTGCAACGATTTTCTGATTCATAAGCTGCTAGAAGAATAACAAAGTGCAGACTCTTTGCGCAACAAGTTCAATTTCGAAAATACATTAGTTTAATATGGTTATTATGGTAAGAAATACCAGTTTTGCAATATCAATCAGCATAACGAGCTGTTTTTGAACAGCTAAAAATAACTGGAAGCGAATGACACCGGAAGCCTCGACATGCTCAAGATTATCCAAAATAAGGTGAAACTTTAAAGAAGAACTTCAAAACAGAAATTTGACAATGTTACAAATATTTGGTTTTCAAAAATTCATAGATTGATTAATCAGCCAATTTGAGATGCCGATAATCATGGCAGCTTCGTTGATTAACAAAAGTTTAGGCACATCAATTCCAAAAATCAAACAATTTTGATTAAATATTGCAAAACATAAATGTTCATTTGACATAAAAAATTATACAGTCAAACCAAAAATTATTCAGACAGCACCAGATATTATATATTTTTACTAGTGTGTGCAGGACACTATAGATCATTTATGTAAGTGAGGAGAGCAAAATAAAGTAAAATGTGACATATTACACCCAAATATTCTTCATACAGTGTAAAATTTATACAAATTTGGGACCAAAAAGTCTTCCTCCACTTTGAGCCGATCATGTTTTCTTCAGTGTGTTTTCTGTAATTGCTAATGCTCTTTTTACACACACACTGAACAACATGAAGCATTGCTTGGTCACTGGTTGAGCTAAACTGGTATTATCTAATTGTGTAGTTAAATTTAACAGCTGACAGATATTCAACATAATTCATGTGTGAGAGTCTAACCGAAGGACGGACAAAACCAGTCAAATATCCACTGATCTGAGAACTGAGTTCTGCCCATATTTATCACCATTTTCTAAACTATAGCGAATAAACTGTGATAATGTGAGAAATGTTGAAGGCGTCTGAATAAATATTGGTTAGACTGTATATGCATTATATTACATATCCGCTACTATTTTGTTGGAACAGTGTGTGCCAATAGTATATAATTATAAATGCACATCTCAGGGTGTCTACAGATATAAACAAGTTAAATTTAAGACTTTTTAACGCCACTTTGAATGAAATCTAAGACCAAACCTGTGATGCAAATACACATTATATGTAATATTTAATGTTTAGTCATTGAAGTAATTTAATATTAACTACTTGTTTATTGAACTAAAATCAATGTTACATTTGCAATCGTGAGAATATTCAGCAAAATAGCTCCCGTCATCTTATGTTACTCAACTATAAATAAAAAAAAACTCAACATTTGTGAATTTTTACCTCAGTATGTTTCTCTGTGAGTTATGATGTGTGCGCTTATGCTCGTTTGTTTTGATTTCTCACTATAAAGTCTCTCACAGAGACGGGCGAGTCTCAACAGCGCTTACAGAAACACATTATCATTATCAATCGCCGTTTATGTAATAAAATCAGAATCATTCTCGTGATTCGATGCTTCGCCGGTTATTTGACGGACATTGGGTCCATCAGACTGGAGACATTTCAGCGGTAAATGTGACCAGAAATATTTAAGACCCATCGAATCTGAATTTAAGACATTTTAATACTTTTTAAGGCCTTTATTTAAGACTTTTTAAGGACCCGCGGCCACCCTGACAGCTGAAACAGCTGTGTTTCTGTAGGGTTATTAACTGTGTGAGTGGCATGTGAGCATCTCCTGAAGTCACCCAGAACAGCCTGTCGATGGGCGGGATGACAGTGAGGTCGCGAGGGGTCGCGAGAGGTCACGAGGGGTCGTTCGGGACACAGGCATTCGTGGGGTCTGGGAACGGCTGTTTAAACAGAGTGAGAGCTGCTATCCCCGACTGGCACCAGTGAACATTGTTCCCACTAATCCTTCAGAGCCGCCCGTCCCCGTCTCACCGGGACAAAACACACAGCAGGGAACCGGGGCACCAACACACACACGCACACACACACACACACGGAGATCACGGTGTGATCAACAACGCTAAAGGCAAAGCGGTCGCAAAAGAGTTTGACTTCTTACACTCTAAACAATGCTGGGTTGTTTTAACCCAAATTTGGGTCAAATGTGGACAAACCCAAATGTTGGGTTAAAAATGTAATTTAAAATTTTAACCCAACTTCAACTTTCACTTTCAACTGTACATTTTTTCAATAACATTTTTAACCCAACATTTAGGTTTGTCCATATTTGACCCAAATTTGGGTTGAAACAACCCAGCATTTTTTAGAGTGTATAACACCTGCCATCATAACAATTGAGGAAGAGATGGCATAACAATGTTTATTGCAATCCTAATTCTGAACAAGAATACACTACTAGTACTGTTAAAAACTAGGAAAGATTGTTTTTCCAAGAATGCATTTGATCAGAATCAGTGAAATACTTTTAGCATTTAAAATAGCAGCAAATCAGCATTTTAGAAAGGTTTCTGAAGGAGCGTGTGACACTGAAGACTGTGCAAGCTTGTTTACGCCACAGAATAAAACATTTTAAAAGATAATTGTGACTTTTTAATCTCACAACTGCGAGTTTAAATCTCGCATTTCTGACTTTATTTCTCAGAATTGCGATATAAATTCACAATTCTGACTTTATGAAATGCAATTCCGGGTTTAATTCTCGCAATTCGGACATCTTTTCTCAGAAATGTGAGATATAAACACGCAATTGCAAGTTATAAAGTCCAATAAGGAATAAATGACTTTTTTCCTCAGAATTGCGACTTATATCATGCAATTCTGACTTTATATCTCCCAATTGCGTGTTATAAAGTTATAAATTGTGAGATGAAAAGTTTTTTTATTTTTTATTCTGTGGCGGAAACAAGCTTCCATAGAAGACTGGAGTAATGATGCTGAAAATTCATCTTTGATCAGAGGAATAAATTACACGTATATTCACATAGAAAACAGCTGATTTACATTGTAAAAATATTTAATAATTTTACTGTATTTTTATCAAAAAACCCAGCCATCTTGAGCAGAAGAGGCTTCTTTCAAAAACATCATAAAACCAAACTTTTGAAGGATATATCTGCACTGTATATCCTGATAGCATGTGTGGTTATTATATTATTTCATGCACATTGAAAGCTTTTGCTTCCTACGGGATGCACATCTTAATGCATTAAAGCCATTTCATGTGCACTTCAATTTGAAATGATATGTTATAATGATAAGCATCAGCTTAGGGTTTAAAAAAAATCACTGCATTAGAAAAATAGTTTTTGATCATCATTTGAAACAAGCTCAACATGAATGATGCAAAACTGTAGATATAACAACGTGCAAATATGTTTTTGGTAACACTTTATAATAACAAATGCTCATTAACATAACACATTTAGTTCAGATTATTACTTAAAATATACTTTTCGACAACAGTTGCTTTAAAGTCAATGCAAACACATCCGAAAAGTGAAGTTAGCTCTTAATATTTTGCTATCTAAATCAAAGATTATAACACATTTTTAAATGTTTAAAATCTTTATGTCTTCACTTTGAACAATATATATCAGTAAGACTTTACAAAAAGGTTCCATCTTTTAACATTAGTTACTAATAATGAAAAACACTTTGAAAGCATTTGTTAATTTCAACATTTACTAATACATTATAAAATTAAAAGTTAGTATCTGTTAATATTAGACACGAGTTAACCTGAACTGACACCGAACTGTTGTATTTTATTAACTAATATTAACAAAGAATACTGTAACTAATGTATTGCTCATTGTTAATGTTAGTTACTGCATTAACTAAAGGGAGCTTATTGTAAACTGTTACCAGTGCATCTATTGTTTTATCACTACAAATCTAAAAAAAAAATGCAAAAATCTTTAATTTAACATAAATGACACTTGCTTTGATATTGTAATCTATTGCAATGACATTAACATATTTTGCATGTGCAAATGCTTTTTGGGGTCACTGTACATGATCTACTGTTATAATTAGCATAATATAATAAGGATTAACTAACGTTAACTAATGGGAGTCTTACTAGTGCATCTATTGTTTTATCACTACAAATCTAAAAAAAAAAAAAGCTTTGAAAATGCAAAAAACTTCAAATTTAACATAAATGACACTTGCTTTAATATTTGATATCTACTGCAATGACATTAACACATTCATTTTGCATTAGCAAATGCTTTTTGGGGCCACTGTACATGATCTAATAGTATAATATAATAAGGATGCATTAGTTAGAGTTGTTATAAAGCGTCACTTCATTAACTAACGTTAACTAATGGAAGCTTATTGTGAAGTGTTACCAGTGCATCTATTGTTTTATCACTACAAATCTAAAATAAATGCTTAAAAAATGCAAAAATCTTTAATTTAGCATGAAAGACACTTGCTTTAATATTTGATATCTATTGCAATGACCCTAAAGCATTCATTTTGCATTAGCAAATGCTTTTTGGGGCCACTGTACATGATCTAATAGTATAATATAATAAGGATGCATTAGTTAGAGTTGTTATAAAGCGTCACTTCATTAACTAACGTTAACTAATGGGAGATTATTGTAAAGTGTTACCAGTGCATCTATTGTTTTATCACTACAAATAAAATATTAATGCTTTAAAAATGCAAAAATCTTTAATTTAACATAAAAGACACTTGCTTTAATATTTGATATCTATTGCAATGACATTAACACATTCATTTTGCATTAGCAAATGCTTTTTGGGGCCACTGTACATGATCTACTATATAGCTTAATATAATAAGGATGCATTAGTTAGAGTTGTTATAAAGCGTCACCGTTTTAGACAGTAGAAATCTTACCTGTCATATTCAGCATTGTCCTTGTCGCAGCGAGCGTCTTTATGTTTCTGCCAGTCTTTGCCATGTTTGCATGTGGTGAGGAGAACCACATCTTCAGCATTATGGACGTGGTAAAGCGCATTCCTGGTGTCAGATCCAATCCCAGTCAGATAGCGCTTGCCTTTAAAAACCAGCATGTATTTCCTAAATGGAGGGATGGTGTTGTACTTTAAATACCCTCGTTCTCCTCCAGTCCGAGGATGATCTTTGGAGAATAACGGGATTGAGATGTCAAATCTGGGTCTGAAGTTCTCGGTGCTGATGCTGGCTTTGGCCAACATGGCTTGTCCGATATCAAACCCCAAATCCTCCGTGTAATCCGGCCATGTGCCCGAATACAGGTTAAAGATCAGGTGGTTACGCCCGTTATTCCACAGGTTCAGGTTCTGGATCTTGGTTTTGAGGTTGTGAACGTACTGAGGAGAAAGCTGGTCTCGGTCCAGGGTGTCGAGGTTCAGAACGAAGAGACAAGCCTGTCCCGGGTCCGAAGTGAAGAACCTGGACCCTTCGATGGAGGACAAGATGTTCTGGTAGCTTTCCGACATCTTCTCACCTTTCTGTTGAGGGTAGACGTAGACTTTGAAGCCGTTCTTCTTGCACAAGGAGAAGTCGAAGCACGAGTCCATTCTGCACTTGGAAGATCCAGAGCTGTCATCTCTTCTGTGTCTCGGAGAAGTTCGGACATTGTAGTCTTCGGTTTGGGTCTGGTCCCAGGGAATAAAAGCTCGGAGCGGATCTGAGAAGGAAGGCCAGTGTGGATGAGGATCATCCGCTTGATTTGGACTCCTTCTGGAAGATGGTCCCTGCAGGTAAAAGAGGAGAATGAGACACACACCTGCAGAGGACAGAATTAAATAGCGTTTTTTGGCCTGCATGTGTCCTTAGGTCCAGGTGGAGCGGTTTGCTGATGAATCTGAAGGTTTTAACTCTTGCTGGACCGCATCTTCTTCCACAGACCTGCAGGGATTTGATGCTCTCGACTTCCACCTTATGATTCCGATCCCAAATCCAGCGCATGTGGGCGATTTAACCTGAACCCCTTGTTATGGATCTACCTCTCTCCTTTCTAGTGCCTGGTTCGCATTAGACAGCATCTAAACTACTGTCTGATGACACCTGACCTGCTCTGGGTCAACGAGAATCATCGGAAAGTACTTTCAGAGACGTGTTCTTGACATCCAGGCTCGGGGAATCCGAGAACTTCCCCAGCGATGGGTCTCACGTGATGTGTGTGGGTCAGAAAGATCCTGTCAAAAACTTCCCTGCCGGATAAATCCCCACAAATCCGTGTGTTCTCACATATTTTACGGCTGAAATAAATCCTCCTTTGGAAACGAGCAGTTGTTGTTTTGAAAACATCACAAACGCGTTTTTCTATTCCGCGTTACATTCATTCAAAGCGCTTCCTCCGATGCCGACGATACAATGTAACATTCCAGCGCTTTAATCCGAAGCGTCCAGTTGCGATTGTTACATTGTAGCATTCCAATCCCCTCTAGACTCCCGCTGACGTCACGCGCCTCCATCACGCACCGCGCGCTGTGATTGGCTCGCGTCATATCCGCTCGAGCCGACACTCCTGTAACCCGTTCATGACCACAGCCGAAGTGTCTTAAAGCAGCCACCGCAAAAAAGTGGCATGTGTTTTAAACAAAGATATGTTCTAAAAGTAAGTTTGATAGATCTAAGATGATAAAAATACATGTACTGTTCAAAATGAATACACGCTTTTTTTTTCTGCTTGTCAAACTGAAAATATCTATCTTTTTAGATATTTATCTAAAAGAAAAGAAAGGAATTCTGAAATTCCAAATGTGCCAATATGTGAAATTGAACCTTTGTGAATGTTTTCAGTGGCATAACTCACACTGGGGTCAGAAAAGTCACTGAAAGCATGAAAAGTTTTATAGTAGAAGACAGAATTGACACTAGAAACTTGACAAATGTTGCCCAAAACATTTATATTTGGCACAGTTTGATAGGAAAAGAGCTGTTTATTAATGACAACATTAAAAAATGTATTAAAATAATTATGACAACATACATTTTTGGGTGCACTAAAGATAATCTTTTTTTTTTTTTTTGCATGGGTGAATTACACAGTATTTTGATTTATTATACTTCTAAAATATATTTTCAAACCATTTCACAAAAGTAAGCTTGTTAGATTTGAGATTATAAAAATAGATGTACTGTTCAAAATGAATACAATTTAGACACTTTTTTATTTGCTTGTCAAACGTTAGAATATGTTTAGGCTCAATTTTGATTAATTCGTGACATCTATCTAAAACAAAAGTAAATCATTCTGAAATTTCAATGATGTATTTATCTTTACAAATAAAAATCCACTGAAAGCATAAAACGTTCTATAGTAGACAATCGTTTTAGAAACTTGATTAAAACATCACTCTAGTCTAAACATGGTTGTTTCAACCCAAATTTGAGCCAAATATGGACAAACCCAAATGTTGGGTTAAAAATGTAATTAAAAAATTACAGTTGAAAGTGAAAGTTGAAGTTGGGTTAAAATTTTAAATGACATTTTTAACATTTGGGTTTGTCCATATTTGACCCAAATTTGGGTTAAAACAACCCAGCATTGTTTAGAGTGATGAAACATTGCCAAAAACATTTATATGTGCCACAGTTTGATAGGAAAAGAGCTGTTTTTTATTGAAAACATTATAACAATTTATTACAATAATTATGGCAACATAAATTTTTGGGTGCACGATTCCTTTAAAGATAATCTTCTTTTTTTTTTTCTTTTTTTTTTCAAGGGTGAATTAAACAGCATTTTGATTTATTATATTTCTTTTAAAAGCAGTATTGCATATTTGGAGAAAAAGGATCAATTTCAACAGATTTAATTTCAATAGCCATGTTGAATAGTTGACACTGATTTTTAGGTGTGAAGTAAATACTACAGAACAAAACAATGTAATTTCCACATAAAAAAGTTAGTTCAGGCAAGAATTAAAAAAAATAAGTAAATTCTATATTAGTACTCAATTCAAGCGTGTAGAAATTAAAGTAAACATATAAACATATAAAATTAAGTAAAATTACTCAACTGATACTGGTGTTCCCATCATGCACTGGGCCTTGATTCATTAATTAGGCTGATTTTTCACTGTTTTCCAGCTGTATTTACACCGTTTCATCATTACTTGTGTTGTTAGGATTAGAAACTTGTGACATTTGGATTCATTTTCTACTTACAATGACACATTCATACACAAAAACGATCCATCAAATGTTACCGTCATTGTGTTTTATCTACCCAGTATTGAGGGTAGTGCTTGCAGTTGCTAAATTTGCTGTTCGGTTGCCAGGGAGTTGTACATGATTGCAACCATGTCTGTACGATGTTGTGGTGCTGAGATATAGCTTATTCATGTGTTTGTATGGTTACTGGGGCGTTGCTAGGATGTTCTGGGTGGTTGCTAAGGTGTTTTGAGTGGTTGCTAGGGTATTTTGGGGGGTTGCTAGGTCGTTACTAGGTGGTTGCTAGGGTGTTTTGGGCGGTTGCTATGGTGTTACTAGGTGGTTGGTAGTTGTCACAGATGGTTACTATGGAGTTTTTACATAGTTCCTAAAATGTTTAGTAACGAGTGCCTTTAGTACGCCTGAAAGGACTTTGGTATTACGGTACTCAACCTTTCCAAGTTAAAATTAGTTATTTTCTTTGTTAATTTCACTCAATTTAGCTTATGTGAAATTTGCTTTAAAAATATGCGTGCAAAAACTTGCCAAAGAAAAGGTCAATTTGACTTATTGTTTTTTTCAGTGTAGGTTCACAGTGGATTATTTGGAGGAAACAAGGCTTTATAAATGAACGTTATTAAAGATGTCCGCCAAGTGTGTCTTGAGTTGTTGGTCCAGCTGCAGGGTCTGAGACGGACTGAGACGGGGAGGTATTTAAAGCACATTCCTCAGAAGTTGTGGAGCCGTGTCAGTATTCGGGTTCTGCTCCGGGCCGCTGATCAAAGCCCAGCTCCTTCTCCTCTGCTTTCTGCACAGCATTCCTTCCATACGCTCACTCTTTCCTCGGGAGATAATATTGCAAGTCACATTTTTATTCAAACACGGTCCGTTCAGATGCGTGTGAATGTGTGTGACTTCCACAGATTTGTTTTCTTTGCTGATTATTTTTGTATTTATGTTGAAACATCTGCTGATATGACATGTTTAATGTAGTGCTGGGCAACGATAAATCGCATCCAAAATAAAAGTTTGTGTTTACATAATATATATGTGTGTATAATTATTTTGTATATATGAATAAACACACATGCATGTATATATTTCAGAAAAATGTGTTATTTATACATAAAATATTTATATTTTATATATATAATATAAATTATGTATAATTGCACTTTCTGTAAAGCTGCTTTGAAACAATATGTATTGTGAAAAGCCCTATACAAATAAATTTGAATTGAATTGAATTATGTATATACATGCAATTATTTATTAAATATATACATGCATATTTGTGTATTTATATACACAAAATAATTATACACAGTATATATGTAAACACAAACTTTATTAATCATTGCCCACTAGTTTAATGTAATCATAATGACATCAGACTCAGACAGCAGTAGTGTCGGCCCAGATCCGGCCCACATCCGGTACATGTGGGCCGGATCTGGGCCGACTGTGTTGCTGTCTGGTGTGAACTCAATCCATATAGAGGCATAAATGCATTATATATATTATATATATATATATGCATTTATGCATCGGCTAACATGCACACATTTACCATTTAGCTGGTAGAGAAGATTCTGTTTTTGTTTGTCCAGAGAAAGTAAATGTAATGGTGGTGTTGATAATTAAAGACAACTCAGGACAGCATGGCCAATGCAGGGTCTTCTAAATCCCTCAAAAGCCTCAGCAGAACCTAAAGGCTATTATGCAGTGGAGCCGTCATCATTAGGCATCATTAGCATGCCTTCGCCACCGTGGGCTGTTGATTTGACATGTAGATCTTAGACGAGTCTCAGCCTCGGACCCAAGATCCACTCTCAGGCCCTGCTCTTTTTACTTTTGGATTTTTATGACTCAGTTAGGTTTCTACAAATTTCTTTGATTCTCTGAAGGCGAAGCACTGCTACTTGGGCGGAGTGATAACCGCAGCACCTGAGACGCGCTCTCTTCTGCTCACCACGGCTCGTCTGATGTGCTGCGGTTATCACTCCGCCCAAGTAGCAGTGCTTCGCCTTCAGAGAATATAGTTCCCAGTATTTATACGGTTAAAATATGTCTGTGTCTCATGTGACTTAGTTTTTTGTACACTCTGTGACTATACAAATCACAACATGTAAATAGGAAAATGTTTGCGTTATTTTGTCACTTATTTGGATTAGTATGCTAGCTGCAACCATTTACATCCAGTCTTTGTGCTAAGCTAGGCTAGCGGTGGGTGCGTCAAACAGACTTATAGCACGCACGGAGATGAAAAAGGTAAGTATGGACTTATCTAACTCTGGGGGATAAGGTGAATAGGCTAAAGTCCCAAAAAGTCGGAGTGTTCCTTTAAAAACATTACAAGCTTACCGTTGTGAATCGAGCAAGCAGAGAGTTGAACACTGGCTGTTATGTACTTGCTCAAAAATGTATTTTGGATCATTTTTAACCCAAAAAAGCTACGGACTGCAGCTTTAAAGTGCAAGTTTTAGAAAATCGTCTCAGTGTGAACTACAAATCATCATTGCTGCGTCCCAATTCGCATACTATCCGTCCTAAATAGTATTCGAAAATAGAATTAGTACGTCCCAAATCGTAGTATGTTGAAATGAGTGTCCCAAAGAGACCCGGATGGTCTACTATATCCGGTCAGAATCCGAAGTGCAGATCGATGCGCACTCTAACGGCTGATAATGCCCACAACCCATCGCGCGTTGGACGAGGATTCGGTTAGAACTACAAACACGAATGAAAAGTGTTCAAAAACTACAGACATGGAGGACGCACGAGTCCGGCGGTTGTGTAGAGAGGTTTAGATAAAGGGGTTTGAGTGATTAATTATCAGTATCTAACCTGACGAAAATGTATTTATTCAATGTTGTCCACATTATATTGCATCTACAGCAGCATTGTGAACTTTTGCAAAGATACGTTTAGCCATTAACTTTTAAATGCATTATTATATTCAAATTCCAAACACATGAGGGGAGTCTCCGCATGAAAGACCCATGACTGGCAGATGAACGTGCGACAACAATTCTCTCCGAAATGGTAAGAAGTTATATTAGATTGAATGGAGGATTTTAACTGTGACGAGATGATTGACAGGGTAGCGACAGATCTGTCCGTTAAAGATGACGAAGTAGTATGTCCCAAAGATTGCCTACTCTTTTGCTACACACTCAAAAGTATGTACTTTTTCTTCACAAAAAGAGTACATACTTTTAGGGCGTAGTATAAGTAGGCGAATTGGGACGCAGCTCATGTGTATTACGCGTTCAGTCTGTGTCGGTGCATTGTGACAT